GCCTGCGGGAAGAGGGAGAGAAGCTGAGGTCCAAACGTCCCCTCCATTTCCCCATCACCCCAAACCTGCCCCTCAGCTCGGAGGCCTTGGTGGGAGACAGGGAAGGGACATCCTGGATGTGGAGCCAGGAGACATCTCCCCCAGTCTCACCTGACTGGGTGCCCAGCCCATTTTCATTTCCAAGAACTGGGGAGCAAGGACAAGGAGCAGGTGGGGGACCCCAGAGCCCCTACTCTCAGTCTTCTGCAGAGCCTGGGCCAGGGCCTCAGGGTGGTCATCCTATGAGCCCCACTTTCACCCCCTCTGGGGACACACAGGGGCAGGGCAGCTCTGTCTCCTACTTCCTTGCCGCTGCCCTGCCTCCTCAGACCCCCAGATCCCACTTGCTGGGAAGAGTCCAGCCTCACCTGCTCCCAGGCCACTGGGGCTCCCAAAGCCTATGGGGAGGCAGGTAGCAGAAGTCAGAAACTGAACCTGACCTAGGGACCAGCAACTGGGGCTCTGCACCCGCCCCTCAGCTTTACCTGATCTGTAGCCATTGGGGTTCCCAAAGCCTGTGAAGTTGGGGAGAAAGGAGTGATTCAGGAGCAGGCAACCCCTTCCTCTCTGGGCCTCAATTTCCCCACAGGCCACGGGGCAGCTGAAGCTGGGGTGAGGGGCCTAGCATGGAGGAAGGCATCTGCCAATGCCCCTGATGGCTGGGCGCAGAGCCCACTTCTCCCTCTTCCTCCATTCCACTCTCAGACTCTTCGGAGTCTCCTCTTCTGGTGGGCTTGTCTGTCCTTCCCTCACCCCTGGCAGTTTCAGGGGGACCCCTCCTCCCACTCCCACCCTCTTGAGGTACTTGGCCTCACCCTCTGCTCATTTGTTCCCCTTCCCATCCTGTCCCCTTGTCCAGGCCCTGCTGCTGCTGATTGCCAGGGGTGGCCTCCCTCACCTGCCACCCCCTGCCTACTCCCCAGGACTCAGCGCCAGGCCTCTGCCCCTAGGGTTGAGACCCCTTGACTCTTCCACAGGTGGGGGTTATCTCATGGCTGTGCCCCACCAGTGCTAACACTGCTGCCTGCTGGGGAAGTGCAGTCCCCAGGGAGCTCCCAGAGCGTCTCTCCTGACCCCAGCACTCCAGGGGACCCCTTATCTTTCCCCAAGCCAGGAGGGAGCACAGGCAGCCCTGGGGGAGCAAGCAGGTGTAGACTCTGATGAGGCAGGACCCAATAATTTTCCCTCAGAGTCCCCTAACTGCCCTCCACTGGGTTCCTGGGCAGCCCAGCCCTCCCAGACCTCCACCCTAGGCAGACCCTGCCCTGTGCAGACCTCCCACCCCAGGGGCCGTGCACAGACCCTCACCTCCTTGCAGGCTGCTCTCTGGGGCCAGGCAGAGAAGGAAGAGGGCTGCAGGGAAGACCCACGAGCCCATGGTGCTGGCAGGGTAAGGGCCTCTACACCCTTGAGCCTTTAAACACCCATGGTGGGTGGGGATCCACCCAGGCCTCCAGCTGAGATGGCAGAAGTGCAGACCCTGGGGGGCTGGTCCCCTATCAGGCGGGAGCTCAGCCCCAGCTCTCCAGGCCCTACCCTTCATCCATCATAGGTGCTGACAGCCAAGACAGGACCCCCACATGGCCCCCAGGATCCCACACCTCTGCCCTCCACTTGGGCTCTGGTGCCAGTGCTGGAGGGCTCAGATGTCCCCCAGCATGGGACAGAAAGGGCAGCAGGAACCCCAGCCACGGCTCAAACACCACTGGGGGGAAGGTGGGGAGCCAGGGAGCCAAGAAAGGAGCTGGGACAGCACAGCAGCCCATGTGACAGCTAGGCTACAGCTACCGGGCTGCGGCCCGCAGGCCATGCAGGAGATGCCAAAATGGGTCCCAGCTGCTCTCTGCCTGCCTTCTCCTATAGAGATGGTGACACACAGGGACAGGCCACCACGAGTCCTGTTTCTTCAAGTCTCAGTTCCAGTCACTGTTCCTGTGGCCCTTTGTCCCATGTGGCCCCAACTCCAACCTGGGGGCAGCCTGGGGTGCCAGCACTTGCAGTGCCATGGGTGGGACTGGCTTCAGCCCCAGGGGGTGGACTTGGCACAGAGTGGGCACACAGGGGGCAGGAGAGGCAGAAAGAAGGGTCTGGACCCCACAGAGCTGGCTAGGAACAACTATGACTCAGCCCCCAACCCTAAGTGGAGCCCAGAAGGCCCCATGCCTCTTCTGTCTGCTGGCTTGCTGCGTGCCTAGCTGAGCAGGGGGGATTATGGCTTGATGAGTCTACCTCACTCAGGGGGCCAGGGCCAGCTGCCAGCCCCCTACAAGCTGTGCTGGGGCTCCTGGCTCACCGGGCCAACCCTGTACGTCCTTCCTGCTCTGCCTGAGCCCCTGCCCATGGCTCTCCCTCATAGCCTTGCCCTTGGACTCCCAACATGCCTTTATATGACAGCCCCATGATCACAGCAGCCCCTTTAGCTTGGCACTTCCCTGTTCTGAGTCCTGAAGCCAGGACCTTCCCTCGGCCTGGCCATCCCATGACGGCCCAGGGCAGCTGCACAGCCCCTTCCAGCTCCCTGGGGAGGTCTCTCCTGCCAGGCCTCCCAAACCACCCCAGGTTGCTGACAGAGCAGAGCACAGGTAAGCAGGAAGGATGCTGGGTTGAGGCTGGGCTCAGGTACCCAAGGCATGTGTGTCCTGTCCCCTTTTTGAGATGGGGACATGGAAGCAAAAAGGAAAGTGGCTTAGCCCGGCTGTACAACTCCAGCGAAATGGGGCTTGGATCTGAGGGTCCCCCAGTCCATTCTTCTGCTGTCTGCACGCTGCAGGGTGGTGCTGCGGGCCCAGCTCTGCCAAGCCTGGGTCTCCAAATGTCTGCCATAGACTGGGGCCAGCCAAACACAGAAGCACGCCCTTGTGGGGCACTGGGGGAGCCTGACTTCGGTGGGGAACAGGCAGGGGGACCCTGAGCTCTGCAGGAGGCACAGGCATAGCCATTGCCAGGCTCCTAGGCACTGGCAGGAGTCTGTGGAAAATGCCAGCCCGTCTGGCATCACAGCCAGCTGGACGGCTGCTCAAACTGCAGTTTTGGCTCAGCTCCACAATGGCACTTCCCACCCCCCAAAATACTGTCCCCTCAGTTCATTCCAGCCCCACCCAGGCAGGGCCCTTTTGACTCAGCTCCCTGGAAGTCAGGAAGAACCATGACTTGGGCTGCCCTTTGCTCCCAGACACTATCTCTGAACAAGGGGTGGCTTGGGAGGAAGCCGGGCTGGGGGTCGGGGGCAGGGTGACAGCTGAGGTGTTGGAAGTGTGGTCCCTAGGCCCAGGAAATGTTGCCTAAAATGGCACAGCCAGGGTTCACAGCCTCCCAGCTGCTAGAGCACAGGAATTGCTAGGAGCTGCAAGGGCAGGAATTCAGGGCTGGGGACAGCTGGAGGAGCAGCACGGCTCATCAGGCGCCTCTCTGGCAACTGGATCCAAGGCTGGCTCCCAGCCCCCCAGATCCCAGACATGTTTCACGGTGTGCAGGCTGCCTTCCGACCTCTGCTAGCTCCTCCTCCCCCTCCACCCGCAGTCTATTGAACCCACTGACAGTGTGAACAGAGCTCCACAGAGGCACACACAGGAAGTAGGTGGCAGTGGAATAAACGCCTGTCAAATATACGATTCCCCACAAACATCCTTCACACTCCCACACATCCCACACTCTTCCACTCGGGGGCGTCAGGTCCTGGCCTTTCTTATTCTCATTCCGGGGCAGGAGCCCCAGCAGGTGCTTTTGCGGCCACAGGACACGCGGGGGCGCGCGCGGGCCTCGCCGGGACGAGGGGGTGGGCGTCGGGCAGCCGGGTTTGGGGTGAGCGTCCCGCAGCGCCCGGCCACGCTTCCCGGTGGACACGTCTGTGGGCCCTGAGGACGACGGGAGGGGGTCTTATTTCTCACCCAGACAGCGGCTGTGAAAGGTGCAGACCCCTACTGTGAGCCCCCTCCCTCCCCTTCTCACCCCCGGGGCTGCTGTGTCTGAGGAGGAATGCAGCCTGCAGGATGTGGGCCCGGGGCCTGCCTCTACAATGTCCACTGATGGACACGGACCTTCTAGAGACGTGGTGGTGCCCCGGGGAGGCGCTGGGGTCCACTGAGGGTCAAGAGGAAGCACATGGTCAACAGGTGACTTAAGGAACAGGAGGCCGACTGTAATCAGGTGGCAAGGGAACAGGTGAGATGACCCACGTGGCAGGGACCCCTGCCTCCCGGTTAACTGGATAAAAGGAAGGCGCAATCCCCAGCCCGGGGTGCCCTGCTTAGTGCTTTAAGGAGATCATCCTAGGGTCACCAGCCCCATTTATACAGCAAACTAATCCAGAGCTCAGGGAAGCCCAGCGCATTCCAAGGTCGTCAAGTCCGGACGCGAGGTGGAATCCAGCCAAGCGTAAATCTCAAAAATCTCGGAGAACGAGAAGGGCCACCTCAGCGGCGGGCGGGCCAGGCCGCACCCGGGGACACCCTGGGGAAGTGGGCCGCGAGTCCCGCGGGCAGCCCACCGGCGCGGCCTCGCCGGGGTCCCCAGGGCCACAGCGCCTTCCTGCTTCCCCCAAGTGCTGCGCCGCGCTTACGGACAGCCGGACTCAGCCAGCCCGGTCGGAGCTGCGGGTGCCCGCACCGCGGCCCCAGGCCCGCCCGCACCGCACCGGCCGCCACGCCTCCGTCTCGCGCTCGCGCCACGGAGCCGACGCCCACCGGGCCGCGGCGGGGCGCGGGGCGCCTGCGCAGTGGGAGCGCCGGGCGGAGGGAGTGGGGCGGGCGCGCGCGCGCACAGGACGTGAGGGGCGGGGCTCAGCGGACGGGGCGCCTCTGATGGGCTGAGCTGGGCGGGGGGCGGGACGAGAGGCATGTGTGGGCGGGGCCTCGAGGCCGGTTTGGAATTTTTGGCGCGAGCCGGCTCCGCGCGCGCTCACGGGCCGTTCCCCGTCCCGAGAGTCCTCCGCTCGGGCGTCCGGAGCCGTCGACGCGGACGCCTGGGCCCCGGACTGCCCCGCGGCCTCCGCCGACCCGGAATCTGGGACCTCGCTGAAGCCAGGTGAGCCCAGGTGAGCCCCGCGCAGGCCCCGCGGTTCCGGCTGCTGGCGGTTCCGGCCCCTGACAGCCCCTCCCCCGTCAGCCTCACCCACTCGCCTCACGCCCTCTCCTCAGGGCCGGCCCCTCCCCGTCCGCGAGCCCCGGCCGGCCCGGCCTCTCTCTCGTGACCGCTCCCGGGCCGGCTCAGCCTCCCCGAGCGCCTCTGGCGGGAACCCCTTTCCCGGTGACAGCCCGGTGTGCTGACCGAGCCGGCCTGGCAGTGGACGCGGTGCTGAGGAGGGGTCCCGCGGGCGGCTGGGAGGAGCAGGGTCACTCCCTCACCTGCAGTTCTCTTCGGGTGATCGTATCTTCCGCTACATTGTGGCCGCCCGCTAACTGCCTCCGCTCTCCTGCTCGCTTGTTGGGGTCTCGGTGATAACATTCTAACCAGGCAGCAGCCTGCGGCCCCCGCCCCCGGGGCGCCTGTGCCGGGGTCCTCTGGGCTGGGGGCCCCTAGAGCCACGGGCCTGTAGCAGCTGCGAGCTTCTGGGGGAAAGCCAGCAGGGCACAAGGAACATAGGCAACACCGCTATCAAATCCAGTGACGTCTGTATCAGGAGACGCCGCCACTCCTCAGCATCCCATTTCCCGTTTCCTGTTGGAGCCTTGGCTGCTCGGGTGGGTCCCAGCTTCTTTGTCGACGCACCTGGGGAAGCCGCGCACGATGGCCAAGTGCCTGCAGCCCCTGCCCGAGCAGGCGGCCAGAATGGAGTGCCTGTCCTGGCTTCAGCCTGGAAGATGTGTTTATCTCTCCTATTTCTGTCACTCTGCCTTTCAAATAAACAAGTTCATTTTAAACGATTAGACTTAAGAAAAAAGAAACATAGGAATATTTGCGCTAATCAAGAGAAAATGAGTCTGATTCTGCCAAATTAGATTTGCATTGGAATATCTACTTATCCTGGCACCATTTGTTGAAGAAAGTGCTCCTTGCTAGTGAGTTATTTTGGCACCCTTGTTGACAGTGTGGGTTTATTCTGAACCTGCTCCCTTGACCCACACTACTTCTGCCCTTGTGTGAGCATCACTCACTTTTGATTAGAAGAGCATATAGCAGATTCGGAACCAAGAGGTAGGAATCCTCCACCTCCATTCTTTTGGGAATTATTTTGACAATTCTGAATCCTTTGAATTCCCAAGTAAATTTTAGGGTCAGCTTGTCAGGCTCTGCTGTTGCTGGAGAGCATTGTCATGCTGTCCCCAGCAAGTCTTTAGATGGACAATTGTGGAGCGGCTTTCTCTGTAGTTATGTCTTTAGTGTTTTGTTTTTCTTTTTTCTTTTCCCTCTCTTTTTGAAGATTCATTCATTTATTTGAAAGAGAGCAAGACAGACAGGGAGTGCTCCACCATTGCTGGTTCACTCCTCAGATAGCTGTAATGGCCACAGAGGCCAAGGGCCAGGCCAGGAGAAGCCAGGACCTCAGTCTGGTCCCTCACGTCATATGGCGGGGGGCCATCTTCGACTGCTTTTCCTGGGCTTTATCAGGAAGCTGGATTGAAAGCGTAGCAGCCAGGACATAAACAGGCACCACATGGGGCAGGATGGTGGCTTTACCTGCTACACAGCAGCACCAGACCCAGTCTTTTCTCATTTTTTTAAGGTTTTGAAAGTTACAAAGAGACAGGGAAAGACCTTTGATCTGTTGATTCTCTCTCCAAATGGCCACAAAACAGAGGTGGACCAGTCCAAAACCAGGAGCCAGGAGCCACGAGTTTCCTCTGGATCTTCCACATGGGTGCAGTGGACGAAGGATATGGGTCACTTATGCTGTCCCAGTGATCTGGATCCGAATTAGAGTAACGGGGTTTGAACCAGTGCTCATATGGAATGCTGGAGCCACAGGTGAAGGTTTTGGCCAATAACAGTGCCAGCCCCACTCCAGTCTTTAGTTTTCATGGTTTTTGTTGTTGTTTGTTTGTATGCCAGGGCCCGTCTGCCCGTGTGCTGCATTTGCTGTACTACTGACCTAGGTTTATTTTTGTTTTTGCTCCCACTCTGTTCCTTTGCACTGTTATTTGCAAATACGTTTCTGTATACTTTATGCTCAACATCAGTTACCTAATAGTTTTATTTAATAGCTTCTTCAATAAAACATTTATTTATTTATTTGAAAGTTGAGTGACAAGGAGACAGAAAAAAGGGTCTGGCACTTGGCATAGTGGGTTAAGCTATTGCCTGCAACACTGGCATCCCATATAGGCATCAGTTTGTATTCCGACTGCTCTGCTTCCCATCCAGCTCCCTGCTGATGTACCTGCTAAAGCAGCAGAAGATGGTCCAGTTACTTGGGCCCCATTGTCCAAGTGGGGGGCTTCAGTGAAGCGCCTGGCTCCGGCCCAGCCCAGATGTGGCTTTTGTGGCCATTTGGAAGGTGAGCCACCAGATGGTAGGTCTCGCTCTCCCTCCTCCTCTGTGACACTGTCTTCCAAACAAACAAATAAATCCCTTAAAAAGAAAGAAAGGAAGGAACAGATCTTCATCTGTTGGTCCACTTCCCAACTGGCCACAGCAGCTGGGTCTGGGCCGCCTGCTACTGATCCCTCAGCCACTTTACCAGGGGGCTGGATCAGAAGCCGAGCAGCCAGGACTTGATCAACACTGCAATGGGATGCAGGTGTCAGGCTGCAGCTCAGCTTGTTGTACTGCAGCACTGACCTCTAACTACTTTTAAAATGACTTGAAGAAAAATGCATCGGGCCCGGCACAATAGTGTAGCGGTTAAGGTCCTCACCTTGAACCTGCCTGGATCCCATTTGGGTGCCGGTTTGAGCTGCGGCCGCTTGGGTAGTGAGCCATCAGACAGAAGGTCTTCCTCTCTGTATATCTACCGTTCCAATTAAAAATAAAATAAATCTTTTTTAAAAAAAGAAATATGCATCAGTTTTGTTTTTATCATGATCATCTTCACCTTTTTTTTTAATTAATGAATTAATTTCATTGGAAAGGCTGATTTACAGAGAGGAGAGACAGAAAGATCTTCTATCCACAGGTTCACTCCCCAGATGGCCACAGTGGCCAGAGCTGAGCTAATCAGGAGCCAGGAACTTCTGGTTTTCCCATGGGAGTGCAGGAAGATCTTCTGTCCAATGATTCACTCCCCAAGTGACCGCAACTGCTGGTGCTGCACAGATCCAAAAGCCAGGAGCCAGGAGCTTCCTCCAGGTCTCCCACATGGGTGCAGGGTCCCGAGGATTTGGGCCGTCCTCTACTGCTTTCCCAGGCCACAAGCAGGGAGCTGGATGGGAAGTGGAGCTGCCGGGATTAGAACTGGCGCCCATATGGGATCCCGGTGTGTTCACGGCAAGGAATTTAGCCGCTGGGCCACCGTGCCAGACCTGGCTTTTTTTTTTATTATTATTTCTTGATATTCTCTCTCTCTTTTTTAAAAGATTTATTTTACTTACATTTGATAGGTAGAGTTAGAGAGAGAGAGATCTTCCATCTGTCGATTCACTTCCCAATGACTACAGTGGTTGGAACTTCTTCTGGGTCTCCCATGTGGGTGCAGGCACCCACAGACTTGAGCTATCCTCTGTTGCTTTTCCAGGCCACAATCAGGGAGCTGGATCCAAGTGAGGCAGTGAGGAAATGAACCACTGTTCATATGGGATGCGGGCCATGCAAGGCTTAGCTGAGTACACCATGGCGCCAGCCTTGATACTCTCTGTCATTGTGTCTTCCTCTGATTATATTGGTTCTTTTAACTTAGAACAGTTTCTTTGGAGGCTGACACCGTGGTACAGTAGAATAAGCTTCCTCTTGCGGCAGGAGCAGATCAATTCCGGGGCCAGGAGCTGCTTCTCCCATGTGGTGATGGGTCCCAGAGACTTTGGCTGTCCTCTACTTCTGTCCCAGGCCGTTATCAGGGAACTAGATCAGAACTGGAGCAGCTGGGACTCAGTTGCCCATGATGGATGATTACACCACAGGCAGCAGCTTAACCTGTTATGCTGCAATGCCCAACAGAGTGGGAGAGACAGAGAGATATCTTCCATCTTTTGTTTAACTCACCAAATGGTTGCGAAGGCTAGGATTAGGCCCGACTGAAGCCAGGAACCAGCAGCTTCCTCTAGGTCTCACACGTGGGTGCAGAGGCCCAGGCACTAGGACTATGATTGAAGTGGAGCTCTGGGACTTGACTTCCATGGTGCCCATGTGGGATGCCAGTGCAGGCAGCGGCTTTACCCACTACACTGCAGTTCCAGCTCCAGAAGCTGATGCAGAGGAGCGGTGCAGTCCCTAGTGACAGGTTAGGTGGATCGCAGTGACTTGGCAGTGGGTCCCTTCCTTCCCCTGGAGCTTGTGCTTTGTGTTTGCTTGGTTCGTTGCTGGTGGGATTGCTGTAGTGAAGTTTGTTCCCCCACAGTCATGCCCGCTGCGCCATCAGGCTGCGGTGCATCCCTGGCATGTGCTCTGTCAGCCTGACAGTGGTTTCAGGAGGCCTCTTTGTGATGCTATTCCCTGATCTCGCCCAGCTCTGAAAGCTCTGCCATTGCTGGTTCTCTGTTCTGTCGTCATCATCATCCTCTTCTTCCTTCCTCTCACCTCCACTTCCTCATTTTTGGTTGAAAGACAGAGTTCAAGAGAGAGAAATCTGTCTGCGGCTTTAGTCCTCAAGTTACCAGAACAGCCAGGGTAGTGCCAGGCCAAAGGCAGGAGCCCGGAACTCATCCAGGCTTCCCACCAGGGTGCAGGGCCCTGACCACCCGGCTCATCTTTTGCTGTTTGCCCAGGTGTAATAGCAGGGAGCTGGTTCAGAAATGGAATAACAAATTGGGGCCCATATGGTATGCCAGTGTCTCAGTGGGCAGCTTAATCTGCACAGCAGTGCCAACCCTGCTTTTTTTTTTTTTTAAGATTTATTTATTTTTATTGGAAAGGTGGATATACAGAGAGAAGAAGAGAGAGAGGAAGATCTTCCATCTGATGGTTCACTCCCCAAGTGGGCACAATGGCCAGAGCTCAGACAATCTGAAGCCAGGAGCTCTTCCTGGTCTCCCACGCGGGAGCAGGGTCCCAAGGCTTTGGGTCATCCTCAACTGCTTTCCCAGGCCACAAGCAGGGAGCTGCCGGGATCAGACAGTTTTAAAGATTTATTTTTATTATTTTTTATTGGAAAGGCGGATATACAGAGAGGAGAGACAGAGAGGAAGATCTTCCGTCCGATGATTCACTCCCCAAGTGAGCGCAACGGGCCGATACTATGCCAATCCGAAGCCAGGAGCCTCTTCTGGGTCTCCCACGCGGGTGCAGGGTCCCAAAGCCTTGGGCTGTCCTCGACTGCTTTCCCAGGCCACAGGCAGGGAGCTGGAAGGGAACCGGCGCCCATATGGGATCCCGGGCGTGCAAGGCGAGGACCATTAACCACTTGCGCCACCGCGCTGGGCCCAAACTTCCATTGGTTTTGACAGCACCTTTGAGCTTAAAGTTTCCTACATGAGGTTTAAAATAAAGTCACTTGGGGGTTGGGGAACATTTCAGAGTCCTCTGCGTGAGGTCCACGTCTCAAGCTGTGCTGTGGACCTGGGAGCAAGGCCATGGTGTCCTTGTCTGGGAAGAGCTCTGCCCCCTCGGGTAGAGTGCTCCGTGTGCTAGTGGCCTGTGACCCTCTCTGATGGCCTCTGCCTTTGTGAAACCTCCCTGCTATGGATGAGCCCCACAGGTAAAGCTTTGTGAGTGAGGGGTGTGGAAGCGGCACCCGTCCCAGCTGCCATGTAGAGGTAGAGTGCTGAGAAATGGCTAGAGCTCTCTGAGGTAGACACTCTAACTGGGAGCCAGGCGGAGCCGCAACTGGCCACACCTGTCAACAGGGCCCATGCTAGGATCCTGGGAGGAAGGTGGCAGGTGGCATGGAGCAGGTGACACACTGTTTCCATGTTCTTACCAGGGCTTGGTTGATTTTTCTGTTTCATTATTTTTTAAATTTTATTATTTTCAAGATTGGTTTATTTTTATTGGGAAGGTAGATTTGCAGAGAGGAGATAAGAGAAAGATCTTGCATTTGCTGGTTCACTCCCCAAGCAGCCACAACGGCTAGTGTTGAGCCAATCTGAAGCCAGCAGCCAGGAGCCTCCTCTGGGTCTCCCACGCGGGTGCAGGGTCCCAAGCTGCTGGGATTAGAACCGGCATCCATATGGGATCCCAGTGCATTCAAGGAGGACTTTAGCCACTAGGCCATGCAGCCAGGCCCTATTTATTTATTTAAAAGGCAGAGTTATAAAAAGGGAGACACAGAGAGATATTCCACCGAATAGTTCTCTGCCCAGATGCTCACCTCTAGGGCTGGGCCAGGCTGCAGCCAGGAGCCAGGAACCTCTTCGGGCTCTCCCTCGTGGATGCAGGGACCCAAGCACTTGAGCCGGCCTCTGCTCCTTCCCAGTTGCATTAGCACAGAGCTGGATTAGGAATGGAGCAGTGAGGGCTTGAACCAGGGCTCATATGGATGTTGGCACCACAGGCTGTGGTTTAACTCTTTGTACCCTGTTTTTCTGTGTAAATGTGGCTTTACCTGCTGTGTGTCCTCTGTGCCATGTCCAGAGACTTGATTCTGAGCTTCATTGTCATCTCCCAGGTGGAGATGACGGGTAGCTGGCCCTGCCTTGGCTGGCGTCGTGCAGTGCCCCCAGCCTCTGTTGAAGGCAGAGCAAGCGGGGGTAAAGTGCAGAATTAGCACCTGGTGCAGCTGGAGTGGACACACTGCTCCGCACTCAGCCTCTTCTCTGCTCCCCAGGCTTCCTGCGCTGGCCATGCCTGTGCCCACAGAAGGCACCCCACCGCCCCTCAGCGGCACCCCTGTCCCGGTCCCGGCCTACTTCCGCCATGCTGAACCTGGCTTCTCCCTCAAGAGGCCCGGGGGGCTCAGCCGGAGCCTCCCACCCCGACCCCCCGCCAAGGGCAGCATCCCCGTCAGTCGCATCTTCCCTCTTCGGACCCCGGGCTGGCACCAGCCCCATCCCCGGCGGGTGTCGTTTCGGAATGACGCCTCAGAGACCCTTCAGAGCCCTGGATACGACCCAAGCCGGCCAGAGTCCTTCTTCCAGCAGAGCTTCCAGAGGCTCAGCCGCCTGGGCCACGGCTCCTATGGGGAGGTCTTCAAGGTGAGTGTGGGGCCTACACCTAAAGGACCCTTTGCCTATCTCCCCTCCACAAACTAACAGTGTCCTAGGCAGCATGCCCTCCTCCCCTCCCGCACCTGCCCCTCCTGGGCAGGTCCCTCCAAGCGCTGCCTCACGCACACTGGCCCCTTGTCCAGGGTCTGGCGTGCGCTGTGGCAGCTGCCATCTCCTCTCCCCTGGAGCCAGTGTGCTGTGGTTCTTGGTAAGTCTGCCTGGCCTGGAGCTGGCCCTGAGTGCAGTGTACACTCCACTCAGCCTGGCAGGCTCCAAGGTATCTTCTGGCTTCCATATTTTTTTTCTCAGAAAATACATATTTTTTTTCTCAATATGTTTCAGTCCTTCATATTTTCTTTCTTTTGCACAAGTACCACATGGAGACCCTTTTGTTAGAAGTACAAACAGCACAGTTGCCTGGATCGGTCTGCTTTAGACGTAGCAGCTTTTACCTCCTGAGTGTGCTGCTCGCTGTCCCATGGCCAGCTTTTCTCATGGACAGTACACCCTAGGGCCAGCCTGCTCCTCCGCTGCTGGGTCTCAGCGCCTGTGGACAGAGTTGTGTCCACTTCTGCTGTTACAGTGCTCAGGGGTTTCTAGTATGGATGCCCGCTGTGCGCTCCTGCACTTGAGTGACATCTCAGTAGACTGCCCATTGTCCCCCCAACATGGTCACTCCCGTGTCCCAGCCCCTCCCTCACCTGTGCCACCACCTTCCTTCCAGGTGCGCTCCAAGGAGGATGGCCGGCTCTATGCAGTCAAGCGTTCCATGTCGCCGTTTAGGGGCCCCAAGGACCGGGCCCGCAAGCTGGCTGAGGTGGGCGGCCACGAGAAGGTGGGGCGGCACCCACGCTGCGTGCGGCTGGAGCAGGCCTGGGAGGAAGCTGGCATCTTGTACCTACAGACAGAGCTGTGTGGGCCCAGCCTGCAGCAGCACTGTGAAGCCTGGGGCACCAGCCTGCCCGAGGCCCAGGTCTGGGGCTACTTGCGGGATACCCTGCTTGCCCTGGCCCACCTGCACAGCCAAGGCCTGGTCCACCTTGATGTCAAGCCTGCCAACATCTTCCTGGGGCCTCGGGGCCGATGCAAGCTGGGTGACTTTGGGCTGCTGGTGGAGCTGGGTGCCATCGGGGCTGGTGAGGCCCAAGAGGGAGACCCTCGCTACATGGCCCCCGAGCTGCTGCAGGGCTCCTGTGGAACAGCAGCCGACATCTTCAGGTGAGGGGCAGGCAGGGGTGTGGCAGGCTTGGAGGTGCCTTCTGGAGGTGATCGAAAGAGAACGCTCCCTGGGAGGGAAGCCCCGTTCTGGACAAGGCCAAGAGGATGCCCTCAGGTCTAAGGGTTGCCTGCCCCGACCCCAGTCGGGGGACTTCCCAGGCCGTGCTGCCCGTGAGAGTGAACCCTGGTGACTGCACACAGAGCAGCTTCTGGCAGCATAAAGGGACCATTGCCATTGCAGGAGGGAGTTGCCCCAGGTTAGAAGTTGGCAGGTCCCACTGGCCGTATAGCTAAACCACCACTATCCTGCCTCTCACACTCCCATCTGGCCACCTCTGTACAGGGTGAGTGAGGCACAGGGAGAACTCGCCTCAGCAGTCTGCATGCTATTCTCTGTGGGATCTATACTCCATAATGGGGTTCCAGGCCTGATGGGGCCCAGTCCATCTCCTACACCCCCTTGCTTGCAGTGGAACATAGCAGTCCCCTGCCACCCACCGGGGCAGTCTGAGATTGGGTCTGTGTCCCAGGACCAACCCTACTCATTTCCATCCCTACTTTGCCCTCTCCTAGTCTGGGTCTTACCGTCTTGGAAGTGGCATGCAACATGGAACTGCCCCATGGTGGAGAGGGCTGGCAGCAGCTGCGCCAGGGCTACCTGCCACCTGAGTTCACTGCCGGTGAGTGGGGGTGGGCCGCTACAGTGGAGGTATTGTGGGCTCAGAGCCATCAATGTCTGGGGTGCTGACATCGCCCCACCTCATTGGCAGGTCTGTCCCCCGAGCTCCGTTCTGTCCTCATCATGATGCTGGAACCTGACCCCCAGTTGCGTGCCACAGCTGAGGCCCTGCTGGCCCTGCCCATGCTGAGACCGCCACGTCCCTGGAGTATCCTGTGGTTCATGGCTGCAGAAGCCCTGAGTCATGGATGGGCCCTGTGGCAGGTAAGCCCCCTCTAGAGTCTGGTGGCTGCACCCACTCCCGACCGGGACCACCAACCCCTGAGATTCCTCTCCCCACAGGCTCTGCTTGCCCTGCTGTGTTGGCTCTGGCATGGGTTGGCTCACCCTGCCAGCTGGCTGCAGCCCCCAGGCCCACCAGCCACCCCTCCTGGCTCACCGCCCTGCAGCCTGCTCCTGGACGGCAGTCTCTCCAGCAACTGGGATGAGGACAGTCTACGGTGAGAGAGGAGGGTGGCAGGGTGCAGTGACAGCTCCACTGTTTGTCACGCCCCAGGGATGAGTGGTGAAAGAGGCTCTCCCACCAAGCCCAGCCCCTTCTCACAGCCTGGGAGACAGCTGAGGCAGGAGGGAACACAGGTCGGGGAGTGGACCAGTGGCTGTACATAGCACAGACTGGCACTTGGGGCACTGTCCCTCTGCTCCCACCTTGGCAGCATCTGCCAAGGTCCAGGGACACAAGGTTTTATCCCTTCCATAGGTGGGAGAGGCTCCCCACGGAGCCCTGGAGTCCCCTCCCTAAGTCTTCCTGGGAGCCAGTGGGAGATGGTAATCTGTACTCCCCAGCTTTGGGGAACAAATGGGAAGCACCAGGAAAGCTTCATTTATTGCGTTTGCTTGTGCCTGCCCAGTGCCCACCCAGTGCCGGGGCTGAGGTGGCCTCTGAGTGTGGTTGGGTAGAAAGACTTGTAAGCTGTTGGAGTGCACCATGTTTTATTTCGCCCCGCGAGGTGGGAGCCTGGACCATCCCTGGGGCAGAGCTGCCCCTGCCCTGCACTCCTCAGCCCTCAGCTTTTCTTGCCCCTTCTACAGGCTGGCACGCTCCCCAGAGGCCACCCTGGCTCGGGCTGTGGGGAGTACTTCCACTCCCCGCAGCAGGTACCCACCCAGGTGAGCAGACCCAGGGGCAGGGGTAGGGGTGTGGCTGGCTTGGGGTCCTGAGTGTCAGCTTTCTTCCCCCTCAGGGACGCCCTGGACCTAAGTGACATCGACTCAGAGCCACCTCGGGGTTCTTTCCCTTCCTTTGAGCCTCGAAATCTCCTCAGCCTGTTTGAGGACTCACTAGACCCCACCTGGACCTCGGGCCCAGCCTAGCTGCTTTTAATATTTTGTCCCCTTTTCTTCTCATTCCCTAGAAAGTGGGGCCCCTCTGGGGACTCCCATGGGTGCCCTCTGCCTGGCCGTGTGTAATAAAAGGTATCTGAACCTTGGGAGTGCTTGTGGGTATGCCACATGGCACTGCTGCCTGGGTCTCAGGTCTGAGGCTGCTCCTGCTGCAGAAGCCAGGGCCTCAGCCTGGAGCCTTCCCGCTTGTGGAGCAGATGCAGTGGGCAGCTTGTGCTGTCCACATGGCATTCAAGACACAGGGCAGACTCTTCGTCTAGATGGGCCTCCCTGGCTACTCCCTGTGCATCTGCGGCAGCTGCCTGGCAGAAGCAGCCACCCTTGAGCCACTTTGTCCACTGGACAGAAATGCCAACACCCACTTGCTGCTGGATGAGGGGGCTGGTCCTGCTACCCAAAACCCTCACTATCCTGGACAGGAGGGAGGTGGAGCGAGCCAGCTGCTGAGAGGGCGGACATGTGGGGGCAGAAATGTGTGAGTCAGGAAGCGTGGCCTGGGGGCTGGCCCAAGCACCGAGAGAGGCCTTGTGGGAGGGTCAGGACAGGTGATGGCTCCAGGCTGGCAGGACTCCCAACAGACACAGCAAGAAGTGCCCCAGTTGGTCTGGTTGAGTCCTCACAGGACCCAGACAGGGAGCAGAAGCCAGAGCTCCAAGACAAGGGTGGGGGGCATGGTCAGTCCACAGAGATGGATGGAGGGGCAGCTACTCCGAGGAGGAAGTCTGTACCAAGGAGCCAGCCCCTTGACGTCAGCAGGAGGAAGCACGGCATTGGCTCCTAGGGGCAGGCAGCTCAGTCTGGTGGGCAGGCGTGGTGGGCGGCCCAGAGCAGGTCGGGCACCACCCCGGCGTGCAGCTGCAGGATGGATCCCACGCTGAGCAGATGCATGATCTGGTGCGAGTTGCCCCAGTAGTCGAAACGCCCAGGTCCCCAGCGCTCTGGCAGACGGGCGACGTTCACCAGCCCGCCGAGCAGTGCCAGTGCGTCCATGCGCAGGTAGCAGGGCAAGGAGCCTGGAGCCCCTGAGCCCAGCCCCAGTCCGCGGGCCCCAAACACCAGCAGGCGTGCACCTGCTTGCCAACCAAAGGCCCGGAGCCTGGCAGTGGTGGAGGGGGCGGTGAGAGCCCTCCAGCCAGCCACTCCTGAAAGCACAGTGTAGCCCACCAGGGCAGCTGGGCGCAGCCAGGGCCTGCAGGCCAGGGTACAGTGGATGATGGGCAGGGCCCCTGCATGGGGAGACAGAGCGTGTTAGTCTGGGGGTCTGCCCATCCTCCCTCCCAGAGTTCACCCCGGCTCGCCCTCCTCAGCTCCCACCCACCAGGACCCTGACTCACCGAGGGTGTTGACAAGGCAGACCCCACACATGTCCAGGGCGAGGAGTCGGGCATACACAGAGCTGCCCCCTTGGTGGCACATGAAGAGGTGATAGAGCACAGAGCCCGCAGGGGGTGCCAGGCAGGCCACGCAGTGTGTGCCCCCCAGCCAGCCATCCTTGCCCAGCTGTCCCCAGGGCATGGTCATCGGCACCAGCACCAGGAAGCCCAGCAGGGCCAGCCCTGGGGGAAGGAGACAGGTGTCCATGAGTGTCAGCGTGGAGGGCACAACACAAGGCTGTCCTGCCAGTGTCACTGGTCACCTCATCAGGGCAACCACTGTCACTACTGGTGAGCACATGGGCTGGGAGAGGCCATGTGACTGCCTGGGTGAACCCTGTGAGCCAGCGGAGGACAGTCCACAGCCTGACCTCTCAAGCTGCAGGCAGGGGGTCCCCATCTGGCCTGCCAGGCCCACGTCTGGCCACACAAAACTAAGAACGAGGACACAGCGGTGATGAGCAGCCCCAGTTACTGAGCTTGCCCCTCAGCCCAGACAAAGGGAGGCCTGGCCTGATCTTCAGAAAGGGGTGAGGTGGCACTCACGAAGGAGTTGAATGGACCAGGCACCTGCCCCAGCACGGACAAGAGTGAAAGGGGGTCCCGCTGCCTATCCTGGCGAGGCCACCAGCTCACACTAACGTCAGCCCCACCTGGCTCAGGGCCCCTCTGGCCGGGGCAGCTCAAGGGCAGGCAGGGCTCTGTCAGCGGAGCTCAGCCGCAGAGGAGGGGCCGGGCGCCCTGGCGGGGAGGAAGGAGCTGCCAGGGCGGAGCCCCAGGGCAGAACTGCCAGGAACTGGGCAGTGGGAGACGGCTGCCCACGGACCCTTCCTCCTCGCAGCCACCACCCATCTCCGGGACGGTTGCTGGCAAGGAAGGGTGCCCAGGACGCTGGTGCCATGAGGGGGCGGGAGATCAGGCTTCTCGCCCCTCCCGGGGGTGAGAAGGGATTACGAGGGCTCAGCCCCTTCTCTGCCTCCCTCCTGCCCGGGCGCCCCGCTGGGAAGGCGGAAGCTGCGGGGCGGTCTGGGACAATGGCAGCTTTGTCACCGCGGCTTCGGGCCGCAGCGGGCCGGTCCCGGGACCCAGCGTCGGGCGCTCCCAGCCTTTAGGCCCGGCATGACACCGCCAAGGAAAGCTCGGTGCGGGATGCGTGGTGGGGCTGCGGCTCACCGTGCGTGTAGATGTTGCCCAGCTCGTTGTGCAGATAGAAGAGGCTGCGCAGGCAGTCGGAGCCGCTGCTGGCCGGCCGATACCCGGTCAGCACGAACTTATTGAACTGCAGGTGGGGCGGCGAGCTGGCCCAGTCCAGCAGGCGAGGCCCAGTCAGGAACGCCATGGCCCAGCGCAGCGCGGGTGGCCCGCACTCCTGCTACCCACAGCCGCGGCTTCCGTGGGGGCCTAGGGCCTAGGGCAGCATGACGGCCCGCCGCCCCGCACAGGACAGCTGCGCGCCGTGGTCGGGGGTCCTGGGCCGCGCCCCTCCTTCCGCGCGCAGGCGCGAGCCTGACGCCCCCACGCCGGGGAGGGAGCAGGGGACGCGCGGGCTTGCCGGGCGCAGTGCAGCGGGCTCCACCGGGGCTGGAGCGCGGCAGCGGGCACCGCGGAGACGGCTGGTCGTCCTGCGGCAGCTGGGAGGACGGGCGCGGCCGGACGCTGGAGGGGACGCCAGGCTCCGCCCCGGCCGCTCGCCCCCGCCATCCCGCCGGGTTTCGCGCGCTGGCTCCTGACGCAGGCGCTGCGAGGGCCAATGCGCGCGGCCGGCGGGGAGGCCCCGCCTCGAGGCCGCAGACAGTCCCGGTCCTGACAATCCGGTTGGCCCGAGGCGACTGCTAGTTCGGGACCCCACGTTCTGGGTACCACGGACCCGCCTCGGTGACCCTGGCCCCTGGGTCCGCCGAGCGTTGCGCGCCCGGGCCTCCTTCGGTGGCCACACCTCCGGGTGCCCACCCTGGAGGGCACAGCGCGTCACCCAGCCCCACCCGCAGCCCGACCTCTGTCCAAGGTGCTGCTGGCTCTGACCCGTTCGCAAGGGCCGAGGCTCTAGCCGGCCCATCCCGCCTTGCAAAAGGCGGAGCGCTGCCGAGGCGCGTGGACGCCCAAGCTAAGGGCGCCGCCGAGGCACCTGGAGCCGTCGGGCGAGGCTCTGCTGTCGGGGTTGGACCTGTCCTGATCCGCTGCCTGTGCCCCGCCCGGGACGGTAAATAGAGGCGGAGAGCTGGAGACAGGAGGGAAAGACCGACCCCGGCCCGCCCACTCGCTCTTCCGCGTTCTCTGCGCTCTGGCCCGCCACCCGCATTCCCGGCGGCTGATTAGTGTGGCTCCGCGCGACACGCGGGCACTTGCCAAGACCTGTACCAAGAGGTCCTTTAAAGTTAGGCAGATCTTTTTCTTTAAAAAAAAGGGGGGGGGCTTTATTTACTTGTTTAAAAGCAGAGTGACCTGGGAGAGAGATCTTCCACTTTCCGGTTTACCCCCGAGAAGCCTGTGAAAGTGGACGCTGGGCCTGGGAGCCGCCGGCCAGGAGCTCCGCGGGGGATCTCCCAGGCGGGTGGCAGTCAGATACGCAGATGGGCCATCCTCTGCTGCCCCCAAGCCCTCCCACGTGAGGTGCCAGGGTGGTTTCTGGTCCCTCATTGGGGCAGCAAGCAAGGCCCACAGGAGGGCTGGGTTCCTCTTGGCCTCCACCTGCTGCGCTGCAAGGGCCAGAGCAAGTCTCCTATCCGAGGTCGGGTCTTCTCCAGATGAGCTGAGCCCAGCTGCCCTTAAAGGGGCAGAGGGCAGAGGTAGGGTAGGGCAGCGTCCCTAGTGTCCATCTCAAGCACGAGTAGAGGGTCCAGTGGACCCTGGGAGTCCGGGTCAGAGGGCGGAGATGAGCGAGCGCAGAGAGCTCTGGCTGGAGGCGCTCAGGGAATGGTAGCCCGCGGCAGGGCCCTCTGTCTGGGCATCCACTGAGGGGCAGGGCAGGGCCACCCCTCGGGGCCGGCGGTACCACACAGCCCAGCTTCTCCTGGCGCCCTGGGAAGGCCCCAACGCCAACGGCCGTTTCCCCGCAGCCAGCAGGCAGCTCCTAGAGAGGGAGCAGACATGAGCAGGATCCCAGCCCCGCTCCCTCCTCGGCCCCCTCTTGGGCACCAGCGCCCCACCAGCCCCCCATGCCCGCACCGTCGGCACAGCAGCCGCAGCAGCGACAGGAGCAGCAGCAGCAGCATGGACGCGGCGGTCACCGTGGACAGGACTCGGGCTGCGGGCGGGCACGCGGGCGCGGTGAGGGCGGAGCCCCGGGGCCACTCCCCGACGGCCTCCCGCCCGGCGCGCCCCCTCACCGCCTGGCCGGGCCTGCGGAGCGCCAGGCCTGGGGCTGCAGCTCGCGTTGGTGGGGGACCCCGCGGGGGTCTGGGCGGAGCCTCGGGGCCGCTCCCCGTCCTCGGCGTCCCGCAGCCCTGCGGAGAGGGGTGTGAGGGCCGGGGCGGCGGGGGCGGCGGGGGCGGGGCGGGGACGCAGCTCACCGCGGTAGGTGAGCGCGAAGCCCTGCGCGTGGCCGCGCGCGTCGCTGCGGAAAGTCAGCAGCAGCGCAGCGGGACGCAGGCGCAGCGGCCCGGGCGGCGGCGGGCGGGCGCCGTCGAAGGCGCGGAGCAGGCGGCCCGAGGCGGCGTCGCGCAGCTCCAGCCGGTCGCGCGGGTCGGCCAGCTCGAAGAGACGGAAGGTGAGCTCCAGCGCGGAGCCCGCGGGGCCCAGCAGCCAGCTGCAGTTCCGGTCCGGCCCGTACTCGTCCGGGAAGTCCGGGGAGTAGAGGACCCCCTGCGGCGCCGTCCAGTTCCCCTGGCAGGAGCCCACCGACACTGCGGGCGGGCCGGACCGTCAGGACCTGGGGCAGCTCGGGCTCCGCGCTCGCCTGTCCACAGCCAGGCCCCGCCCACCTCCGCCCAGGCCCCGCCCCAGTGCCCGAAGGCCCCGCCCACCTCCGCCCAGGCCCCGCCCCATCTCTGCTCTGGCTCCGCCCCCGGGCCAGTGGGTCCCCTTCCTGCGGCCCCGTCACCACCTCGGAATTCAACCCTTGTGCCCCTCACCCGGAGGCCTCGGCTCGGCACCTGCGTCCGCACCGCGACCGCCACTCCAAGCCCACTCCTCACCTTCGTAGATGCCCAGACGGCCGTCGCCACCGCACAGCTGGCCCGGGTGGCCGAAGCAGATCTGGTCACAGTCAGTAGCGGGCGCCGGCCGTCCCCGGGCCAAGTCACCTTCAGAGCCGCAGAAGCAGGCGTAGCCGGCCTCGACGCCCGCCAGCTGCGAGTACAGAGCAGGTGAGGGCTGGGCAGAGGGGCAATGGCTGGGCAGGGGCGAGAGCTGGGCAGAGGCCAGGGCTGGGAGGGGGCGAGGGCTGGACAGGGGCGAGGGCTGGGCAGGGGCTAGGGCTGGGCAGGGGCTAGGGCTGGGCAGAGGGGCTAGGCCTGGACAGGGCAGGGGCGAGGGCTGGGCAGGGGCGAGGGCTGGGTAGGGGCGATGGCTGGGCAGGGGCGAGTGCTGGGCAGGGGCGAGGGCTGGGCAGAGGGTCTAGGGCTGAGCAGAGGGGCTAGGCCTGGGCAGGGGCGAGGGCTGGACAGGGGCGAGGGCTGGGCAGAGGGGCGAGGGCTGGGCAGGGGCCAGGGCTGGGTGGGGGCAGGGGCGAGGGCTGGGCAGGCGGGCGGGCGGCCAGGGTACCCTACCTGGTAGCCCTTCATGCGGCAGAAGCGGAGGCACACCTGCACCGTGAGCTTCGTGGAGGTGCCGCTGGGGCCACTCAGAGCCGGCGGCGCCCCCGAGTCCACGAAGCACCCCAGGTACCCGGGCACTGGGGGGGGCGGCAGAGTGAGGCTCCTGCGCGGGAGGGCGCCCCGCCGCCCGCTGCCCGCACCCCACTCACTGTGACACGTGGGGATGTCGCAGTAGCGCCAGTAAATGCCCTCCTCGGTCTCGGCCACGTAACACCAGGGCTGCACGTCCCCGTCGGGGTTCCTGCCCGCGGGGCGAGGGGCACAGGTGGTCAGGCCCGGGTGGGGTCAGGCCTGCCCCCCAAGTAGGCGCAGCGTGGCCGTGCAGGCCTCAGGAGTCTGGGTTTCTGTGGGAGCTTCTGGCCGTCATTCAGAGGGCCCCAGGGCTTGTGGGGATCCTCAGCAGTTCTCAGGACCTGAGTCTGTGGCTCTGCAGGATGGCAGCCGCGGGCCTAGACCCCCGGTCCCGCTGCAACCCTGAGACGCAGCCCACCCTTTCCGTGCGGGCCCAGGGACCCTTGAGGGACAAGGCTCTGTGCAGTGGCCCCGCCCTAGCTCCTCCCACAGGGCGTGGCTCTGGACGTGGACCCGCCCCACCCGGAGCCCAGCTCCTCCTCCTGGGTGTGGCTCTGTACATTGGCCCCACCTCAGCACCTCCTCCTGGGCGTGGCTCTGCACGCCAGTCCCTCCCCATCCATCGCTCCGCCCTGCTCCTCCTCCTGGGCGTGGCTCTGCACGCAGACCCCACCCCACCCGTCGCTCCGCTCCTCCTCCTGGGCGTGGCTCTGCAGCCAATCCCGCCCCGTCCCCTCCTCCTGGGCGTGGCTTGCCCCGCCCTCACCTGCAGAAGTTGTGCGCGCCCAGCCCCCAGCGGCCCTGGGGGTCCCTGGCGCTGCTGTAGCTGTGCTGCTGCGTCTGGTCCCAGAAGAGGCACGGGCGGCCGGCCCCGCGCGGGCCGGTGCGGTTCTGGCGGCCGCGGTAGTCCGCGCCGTTCACCTGGAAGCACTCGGACAGGCCTGCACGGCAAGGGCAGGACCTGCGGAGGTCCGGACTCCGGCCGGGCATCCTCGGAGCCCAATGCCGGCTCGCCAGGGTCCCCGGCCTGCGCGACCTCCCGTCACCCCTGGCCCGGTCCCCCGACGCCTGTCTCCACCAGGGGCCCTCGGGCAGCTCAGCTCCAGCCACCTGCTCGGCCCCTGCCCTCTGCCCGCCCGAGCCCCAGCCCTGGGGGCGAGGCCTGAACTCACCTGGGCTGTGCAGGCTCCCCGCCGAGGCCCGGCGCAGCAGCGGAGACAGGATGAGCAGGACGAAGAGGCCCGGTAGGGGCTGAGTCCCCATCGCCCTTAGTCAAGTGGAGGTTGTCCTGTCCCAGGCACCAGCCCCTGGGAGGTCGCTGTCCTCTGCGGGGTCCTCACCCCGCTCTGGAGTCTCCCTGTGCCGGTTCCTACCTGGGGGTTATGGGGGTCTCTTCCGAGGGTGTCGGCTGCGGCGCTCTGGCCTCCCGCCGCGCCCGCTGTCTGCGTCCTGGCCCGGGTCTCTATCGCACTGGCTCCTGCCCCCTCGCGTCCCTCCCTGCTGGGTCCCTCCCCACCCCCGGGGGACGGGAAGCCCCGCCTGGGACCTGGGCAGGCGGCAGGTCCAGACGCCTCCCACGCCTGCCCCCCAGGACCCCCGCCCCTGCCCCTGCCCCACCCACGCTCTCTAGAGCCGGGGGTCGGTGAGGGTTCCAGGCTGAGGGGTGTGGACGGGGACGAGACGGGCTGACGGGCAGCGCGACCCCCTCCCGGGCTGCTCGCCCCCGGGACGCCCAAGCACGCGCGTC